CACCAATTAATTAATATCAAACTGTTGGAAAGTACAGAGTGTATTTTAAATTATTTGTAATTCAGAAGCGGCAATTGCTTCTTTTTGTGACATAGCTTTGCTAATGACTTTGTGTGGTACGCTCTTTATGGTCCTGTCTTGGTAGGGCAATACCCAATCTCACCTTTTCAGGACGGTGGCTTGATATTTTGGAATGGCAACAACGCATCCTAATGTTTTCAGGACGGTGGGGCGATCTTTTTTGGTATGGTAATAACACATCATCACCTTTCAGGACGGTGGCGCGACGCGATATATTTGGTATGGTAATAATACACCATCACCTTTTAGGGACGGTGGCGGGATACTTTGGTATGAATAACAGACGGTCGCCTTTAAGAGACCGTAGCGTGATATTTTTGGTATGGTATGGTAATAACGAACTCTTACCTTTCAGGGACGATGGCGTGATATTTTTGGTAGATGCATGAAAAGACCAACATCAGCAAGCACCGGTCTTAATATAAAAAAGGAAAGAGCAAGATTCTGAAGGCCAACACAGCAAACTCGACACCCATCAAGCTGGAAGGTGTGGAGCTGGAAGCACAGTTGACAAAGAGGGTGAAACAGATGCTAATATTAAGACCCGTATCGGCAAGGCAAGAACAGCTCTCTGCTTGCTGAAAAATGTCTGGTCATCCACAGAACTGATAACTAATATAAGATCCGAATGTTCAGCATCATCGTAAAACCTATCATACTCTATGGAGCTGAGACCTGGAGAACCACCACAACCAATATGAAAAGGATCGAGACATTCATCAATGTTCGCCTCAGAAGAATGCTCCGAATTCGCTGGCCAGACCAAATCATTAGCGAAAAATTGTGGCAGCGAACACAACTGCAGCCTGCAGATGAAGAAATTCTCCAACGACGCTGGAGATGGATATGCCACACACTCCATAAGCCTGCATCCAGTACCACCAGGCAAGCACTCACCTGGAACCTACAGGGGAAAAGAAAGAGAGGCCGGCCAAGAAACACCTGGCGGCGGGACCTAAAGAAGACAGGCCCCACGATGGAACAGCTGTAGAGACTTGCTCAAGACCAGGATGGTTGGAGAGAGTTTATTGGCGGCCTATGGCCCAGCATGGGCTACAGTCTTTGTCGTTGTTGTTGTTGTTGATGATGATAATGATGATGATGATGATGATAATAATGATGGTGAATAACGCACTCTTACCTTTTAGGGACGGTGCCATGATATGTTTCTTATAGTAATAACGCACCCTTACCTTTTAGTAAGAACAAGGTGATCCACCTTGATCTAATTTCTCACACGATCTCAACTGTTTGTTTGAAACCCGTGGCTGTGATAATACAGTGTTTATTTATCACTCGGGCACGATAAATCAAACACGTCTTTTTCACTTCTTCCCATAATAGCCATAATAGCACAATCACAGCTCATTAAATATAATTTTATGATAATCAGAAAATAATAATGTCTAAAAGAGCCATAGACGAGACTAACATAAAGGGCCGTATTCGGCAGTTGGTCTAAATACTCAGTGTCTACTCTGTTAAAGAGAAAGATAAGAAGTATCAATTTATAGGTAATATAGGCAGGGATATATTTAAACAAAATCCAACACAAATGAATAATTTTTCAGCCTAAATGCCTGAAACACAAATTGAGAGAGAGAGAGAGAGAGAGAGAGAGAGAGAGAGAGAGAGAGAGAGAGAGAGAGAGAGAGAGAGAGAGAGAGAGAGAGAGAGAGAGAGAGAGAGAGAGAGAATTGCTGTCCACATTGCTGAAATCCCAAATCTTAGTACTAATAATAACATAAAAGCATGTCCTTGTAACTTTTGTTCACTTTTTTGTTATAAATTTAAATATCGTACGATCTTAGGTCGAAATTTATGTGTCATCCCACAAATCAATGAATTGTCGACATGATATTGACTAAAGAGAATGTTTTATTTCATTGTAAGTACATTCATGAAAACCAACAATATGGCGTCTTGAGTCATCGTCACTGAAAGAATCGTATAGGATGTACTGCATTCTAATGTCATCAGCTTTTAAAATTTAGTTTTATAATTTATGCGCAACTATTTTCGTGCCTGTCCAAAATGAAATATTGCAAAGTTTGAATGTAGTTTGTTTGTTTTCACTATATTCCAACTGATGGCTATCTGGTTCTCATTGTGAAGCAGACGATAAAATGGCTTGAGATACCGCGGATTACTTACTAGTTATCGCATTATTGACGATTATGCCGGATGTAGATAAAGAATGCTTGGGAAAACCTCGGTTTCTTTTCAATATGCAATTCAGAATTCTCGCTGTTGATGGAAGTGTGTAGCAGAATTGAGGCCGTGTGATGGAAGAATGGAGTAGGTGAATTCAGATCAATTTAATGGCTTGTGACAAAGAGGACGAAAATAATTCATTATTTCAAATTGCACTCCGTGGAATCTGATGAAGCCAAATAGTTTGTTTTCGTCTAAATTCGAAATGTATAAGTAAATTCCCTAGACAACGGTTTGGAATTATGATATTGCCAAGTTTTGTGACTTTAGTGGTTACAATGAAAAGTGAATACTCCTCATTTTACTTCATATCTTGCAAAAAGTTTCATTACTTTTCCTTTATTTTAATAATTAAGGAACATTTTTCCACAGGTAGCATGGTTCTAATCAAGATTAAATGTAATGTTAATCTGCATCAAATATAAAAGTTGGCGTTATCCATAGAACATGAGATTGCTTTACATTTCAACAAGATAAATGACATTCTAATCCAGAAATACTTACATTATATAACATATTAATCCGACAGTTTTTTATTGCTCGTGTCAAGGAAAGTCTTGATTGCTGTAGTCTCGATCATGAATGCTTTTCTGTCAATACATACGTAGTCAAGTGGTCATGTTTCACAGAACCAACATCGTTGAACTTTGTCCCATATTTTTATAGAGAAACCATTATGTGAGAATGGCCAGTTTAGCCCACATTATAAGTTTATATTAGTAAACTTAACTTTAGAAAAACAACTAAATGGAATATAATCTGAACACTGATATTGTGACTAGTTCTTCCTGTAACTGAATGTATTTGAAGGAGCAAGGGGACATTACTTAAATAGCACAGTTTCAAGCTATTCCCCCTTATTCTCTTATTTTCTGGAATAATAGTGTCATTATAATAAATATAAAAGTTAAAAAGTATTTCCATTATATTTTCAAACAATAATGTTATGCACATTTAATTGTGTGCCTTACTTTAGTCAGTGACTGTAATTTGTCTCTTAGATACTGTAAACAGAATGTTTACATAGCATGTGAGTTCCAAAAATTCGAAGCCCAATCTTTTAATACTGTAATTTCCATCGGAATGATTCACATCCAGGCCAAGTGAAAATGTGAATAATTAGGAATTTGTGATAACCAATTATTTGATTCTTGTTTTAGATTTGTATATCAGATATAATTCAAGAGGAATTACTTATTTAAGATACTCACTGGACTTACTAAAAAGCTAATTAACTTTTGGATTTATACACATTACTTTAGAGTATTGTGAACTCATTAAATGATATTCTGGCTTCTCTCATAGTGTTACATAAAGGACATTCAAAACTATTGGAATACAATAGGAATATCCTATAATTTTTGCCTTGTGATATGACATTTAGGACTAATTTACAATACTGTCAATTTCTCTTGAAGTTTTACTTTGTATTGTTGAAATTACTTTAAAATTGTTGGTTTTACGTCTTTGTGTTACATAATTTAACACCCAGAATCGAAACAATATAAGGAAAGTTTTATAAAGTACTTTTCGAGAAAGAAAATTGATATAATCAATATACATCAAGACAAAAATTCTACACTGATATTTGAATATATCATCCAAATTCGAAAATACGACTATTGCCCTTATTTTACCCCCCATGTTTGCTTGAAAAGGATCTAATCGAGGAATTGTTGTGCACATACCGTAGCTTTTCATACAGTTTGCTATTGTTTTCTGCTCAAAGCAAGTAAGTCAGATTTTTTCCTTTACTTTCTCAATATATTTATTACATGCTTGCCGAGAGGTTTCTTCTTGGTGTTTTTTTTTTTAGCTAGGAACAAAAGTTTAGGTTTGGAAAATTGAGAGGCTTAGTTGTTCAGACTTGTACATTGGTATCACTTTGTAAGACCATACCACGCTCAGACTTGTACACTAGTATCACTTAGTATGTAAATAATACGCTCAGACTTGTACACTGGTATCACTAAGTAAGAACATACTACCCTCAGACTTGTACACTCGTAACACTAAGAACATACTTTGCTAAGACTTGTACACTCGTAACACTAAGAACATACTACCCTCAGACTTGTACACTCGTAACACTAAGAACATACTACCCTCAGACTTGTACACTCGTAACACTAAGAACATACTTCGCTAAGACTTGTACACTCTGATCGCTAAGTTAGAGCATCCCATGCGCAGACTTGAATACTGGTACCACTAAGTATGTATAAGTATATCCCACAAGTATAAGTATATCCCACTATTAGACTTGAATATATTTATCCCTAAGTATGCATATGCCACACTCAAACTTGAATACTGGTACCACTAAGTATGTATAAGTATATCCCACAAGTATAAGTATATCCCACTATTAGACTTGAATATATTTATCCCTAAGTATGCATATGCCACACTCAAACTTGAATACTGGTACCACTAAGTATGTATAAGTATATCCCACAAGTATAAGTATATCCCACTATTAGACTTGAATATATTTATCCCTAAGTATGCATATGCCACACTCAAACTTGAATACTGGTACCACTAAGTATGTATAAGTATATCCCACAAGTATAAGTATATCCCACTATTAGACTTGAATATATTTATCCCTAAGTATGCATATGCCACACTCAAACTTGAATACTGGTAATACTAAGTTAGTACATACTAAGCTCAGTAAAATGAACATTCATGCTTTGGTATCACTCGGCCCGGGATCAAACCCACAACCTCCCGCATCCGAGGCGAACGCTCTAACCACTAGCCACCGGAGCGGTAGTTTATTCGTACTGTTCTTATCTGTTAAATATTCTCAAAAAGATACATTGTTAGCATATTGCTCGCTTATAACCCGAGTAAAATTTCAAACAACAAAGACCCTGATCGGCTGTTGCATAATATACAGGTATATATCACGGTCTTTGTTATTTTATTCTGTTGATTACTCCTAACGAACTACATAGTTCCAGATAATCCGACATATTGACTGGTGGCAGATCTAGGTCTTTGGAGTTTACAGTTGGACTCAACGTGTAGGCGAGGAAAAGTGGTTTTAAATTTTTTTTTTACGGGGGTTAATAATGGATGATTTTTAATTACTTTTGCCCCAATACCACAGTAATGGCTGTAATTTTTAGGGACATATTGATGAAAATTGTCAAAATTATACCCATATTTGCTTGATTATGTACCTATTGTTTATAACAGCTGAAAATAAAACCAAAGTTTTATAAATTGAAAATATTACAAATTTAAGGGTCACCACACAACACTTATCCTCTTCTGTCTTTTAATAATGAATTTCATTATATTTAGATTAGCCTCTATCTAATTAACAACGATAAATACATTTCATGGCGTTATGATCCCAGAGATACATATATAAACTTCGCATACACACAAATGTTTGACAAGTGAATTATTTCTAGTTTAGATAGGACATCTTCATTGGATGTATAGGCATCTAATCAAAATTAAAAATGACAGACAACATACATACATACATACATACATACATACATACATACATACATACATACATACATACATACATACATACATACATACATACATACATACATACATACATACATACATACATACACGTGCATTGCTATTGCAATAAATTTTACACTTTAAGTTAAAGTTGGACCTAATATATCGCTAAGGCCCTTTATAATCCTCTTCCATCATTTTATCGCTAAGGTCTTTTATCGTCCTCTTCCATCGTTATATCGCTAGGGCCTTTATTGTCCTTTTCCATCGTTATATATCTAAGGCCCTTTATCGTTTTCTTCCATCGTAATATCGTTAAGGTTTTTCCATCGTTATATCTCTAAGGCCTTTTATCGTTTTCTTCCATCGTTATATCGCTAAGGCCCTTTATCATCATCTTCCATCGATCTTCCCTATTTTATCACGAATGTTAATATTATAATAAAATTGCAATCCTGCTTGTAGATGATAATAAATTGTCATCTCATTTTCAAGTTTAGATGGAAAATAAATAGTTAATGTCAGGATAGAGTTAATTTTATATCATTGGGTGGGGGTGATATAATTTTACTAAGCGATTTTATTTGCAAATGCTAACACCTTTGCGAAGAACTGTCTTGCTTAGACCAAAACTGATTACACACTTCAACCTTTGACGTACTAAATAATACAAGGGAAAGAAAGATTTACTTAGTCTTTCAAAAATAAAGTGAACTTCTGTTGTCTGAGTTTGTTTAGGAAACTTATATCTCAACATAACTATTAAAAATGATAATAAATTGTGACCTGCCAAATATTTGTATCTAATTCGATTTTCTTTATTATAATGGAGGTAGAAGGGCTTTGATTTTGCCAGTAATCTACTGCCAAAACAAATCTGTATTGAACGTATATTGAAGATCTCATCCTGGTCAAAAAAGCATTGTTCTGATTAGTAGAACTTTAAAACCCCTGATGTCTTGAAGACTTTGTAGATGCTACGGGAATCGAATCAGCTGGCAATCAATGGAACATAAAAGTTACGTGGAACACGACCAAATCTAGGTCGGTGTAGGAAGTGATAGCTTTGTGGCTTCGTACTTCAGCAGATTAAGTGACATTTGTTATTGGTCTCTTTATTTTTCTTTCTGTCTGATTTCTCTACTTGTTTGAAGCACACTCTTAACCGAATTCCTGTTTTTAAATTTAAAGCCCCATCGGTTATAGTTCGTAACTATAATATATGGAAGGAACGAGTATATGACATATGTCTATTATGATGCTTTTATACTTTTTCATGCATACATTCGGTTTGTTCACTTTAATGGTCGAAAGGCAGAAAAACGTGCAATGGTTCTGAGATAATTGTATGTTAGGCGTCCAACGTGCATCCTATGTATTTCTTTATCCGGTGTCTGAGAAATTTGGAAGACACTTTTAGTTTAAAATCTCAATGGTCCTAAATGAGAACTCTTTCCCTCTAACGTTCAGCATATTCTTGACATTGAAATGCTTTTATGAAACGTAGTTGGTCTTCAATAAAAATAGTGACAAGCAGAGAGATGCAACATGTCCGCCACATCTGACATCTTAAAAGTATTATTAGGACCAATCTTTGTGTGATATCATTGACATGCGGTTTTCAATAAAATAGTTTTGATCATGTTTAGTGGCCAAGTTCACCGGTTTAATCGAACTTCCAAGTCTTTATATCGACCATCATGAAAATCCTGTCATGGCTACTTTAATATAACGGATGGTTGAATCGACTAGAATTTCATTGAATAACTTCTTACAATATATAACGAGTTCTAAATGAAAGTGGTGCCGGACTGGCTTCTAAAACGGAAATAACCTTGACCATTTTGAAATAATAAAACCATATCACTCCTGTTCTCGAACCGGTATTCATTTGCTGTAAATGAACTCTTACGTTATGTAGTTCGTTCCATTAAAAATGAACTCTTACGTTATGAAGTTCGTTCCATTAAAAATGAACTCTTACGTTATGTAGTTCGTTCCATTAAAAATGAACTCATACGTTATGTAGTTCGTTCCATTAAAAATGAAACTGATTGGAACTTACAAAATGAAAATGTCAATTTTGAATCCCAGTTGTTTAAAATAATAAACTAAGTTTATGAACACAGTAAGTTGTTCATATATTGAATTTCACCCAGTAAAGTTGCAGTTCACTAAGGTAGTTAATAGTCAAATCTTTCAAGTTGATTCTAGGTCAAAGGTCTTTCCGCATGTTTCTATTGGTAATGTTTTTAAGCATGATAGCTCAAAACTAATGAATGGATCTTTCTGAACTATGCCTTGAATAGTCGATGTTAGTTGGACGTTCAAAACTTTTTTGTTTTCTTTTGTTTTTATCTTTAACCATTAAAGAACTGTGAATTCAACAGTTCGAAAATATTTGGTATGATTTTTAAGTAAAACTTATTGTGTAGGTTTACCTTGACATTATAATAGACGATTTAAATGATCTCGCCGTGACATCAGGTTCAATGTCAAAAAAAGCAAAGATTGCTATAATGCACTTGTTAACAAAGATATGTGAAAAAGCGTTTTAAAAACTAAATATCGGTGTACTGGAAGATTTTTTTTTATGAATATCTAAAATGAATTCGATACTCAAAAGGACAAATAACAAAATGGGGAAAGAAATGGATTCTTATAAATTCTTTTCGTCCAGAAGGGCATCATCTGGTACTTGTCAAAACTTGTCTAAAATACATTTCATTGAATGTCAAAATTTCTCTAAAACCCAATTCATTGACTTATTATCTTCTTCGATAGGGTATTTGAAGAGATCTGTATATTTTATTATTGCCCTTTTTTGAAGCTGTACATAAATGTAATGCAGATCGATAGACATAATAACGTTCTACAAAATGATACAGAGCTGAAGATGAAGCACTTCAGACAATTGCGGATATGTGAGTGTGAAGAAAAAATAAGAAAATGACAGTTTCGTACAAACGTCGGAGAATGAGAAAAGCGCGCTTCTATGGAGTCAAGAACATCCTCTAAAATCTAGGTTTGGGTACTCTGAAATTAAGACCAAATTAGATATAGCTTAAAGATGTAGTTTTTTGTCCGATGGTACAATTTTGTGGTGTTTTCAATATTTTTTAAAATGGTTGCGATTTCCTGGAAGATAACCTACATTGAAGAATTCTGTTTGCGTTTGGTGAGCGGAAAGTGGTTGTTGTGAAAGGGGTAAATGATGAAGGTGCTTGAGATTCAGTGGATCATGTTTCTCTTATTCCAACCATTGATTCTTATGGCTTTTAAGAAAGGCTTGCTGATTTGTTGATGGCTGATCAGAAACATAGTCTGGTTGAAATAGCTAAACAGCCGAAATAGTATTTGAAGGAGAAACATCAGCCACAATCTGCCACGTCCTCCATACAGCATCCACAATCTACCACATCCTCCAACATCATCCACACTTACACATCCTTTAACAATATCCACACTGCCACATCATCCATCAGCATACTCACAGCAAAATCCTCCATACATCATCCACACTCTGCCACATCATCCATACATTATCCATACTCCGCCACATCATCCATAAAGTATCCACACTCTGCCAAATCCTCCATACAGCATCCAGACTCTACCACATCATTCATACAGTATCCACACCTCACATCCTATGTACAGCATCTACACTCTGCCAAATCCTACATACATCAACCATTCACATCCTCCATACAGCATCCACACTCTGCAACATCTTCTATACAGCATCCACACTGCCACATCATCCAAGGTCATCAACACTGTCAAATCCTCCATACAGCATCCACACACTGCCAAATCCTCCACACAGCATCCACACTCTGCCATGCCATCCATACAGCATGCACACTCTGCCACATCCTCTATATAGCATGGACACTCTCCCAAATCCTCCATACAACATCCACACTTTGCCAAATCCTCCACACAGCATCCATATTCTGCCAAATCCTCCATACAATATCTACACTGCCACATCCTCCATACAGCATCCACACTCTGCATTATCCTCGATACAGTATCCACACTCTACCACATCCTCCATACAGCGTTCACGGTCTGCCACATCATCCAACGTCATCCACCCTTTGCCAAAACCTCCATAAAGCATCTACACTTTGTCACATCCTCCCTACAGTTCTGCGTCAGCTTCAAGTTGTATTTGGCTGAATCCTGTTGTCACAGATTTGCTGAGTAGAAGACGATTTGAGAAGCGCAGTTTTCCGGTGATTGAACAACGTACAAAAAGTGAACACAAAAAC